AGGGAAAGCCCTTCGGACAGTAACAGCAGACTGCTCATCTCATGAGGGGGCTTCCACGGGAAAAGTTGGTGCATTTGAAAGGAACTTCTAACCACTATGGCTTCAAAGATTAATTTTAATGTCTACAAAACAATAAATGATTTATTATAATACAAGAAAGCTATTTTTTTTCCCTAATACATAACTAAATGCTGGACTTGGGAATTTACAGACACAAGATGATATTTGTCTTTCTTGCTGTTTACCATCCAAGAAGCGGTATCATTCAGCTACTGTTAAGTAGCTAGAGCAGAACCAATTATATCCTGTAAGGCATCAACCTGTAAAAGAGAAAATGAGGCTATATTGCAGAGTAATTGCAGTATAAGAAATGAAGTCATCCAAAAATCCTATTTACAAACTGATAACAGATTTGTTGAAATAATGAGCATCAAGAAAGCAGGGTAAAAGTAGTTTGTAGGGTGTTAGCTGATTGTTGCTTTTTGAGTTCCACTAAAACTGTGGTTACTTCGTGTGTGTGAGAAAACAACACTTTTTGGCAGGCCTGTCTGGATTGCATTTGTAATATCATACTTAGGGCCCACACATGCATGTTATTCATAAAGGAAATTGGCTTTCAAGTCAATACATTTATGGTGGCTGTGCTTAGAAGTGCCTGCCCTGCATGCTGATGTCCCTTTAGCATTAGCTGTAGCACAGACCTCATTGTGGGAGGTTTTATACCCACCTAAGGTGAGAAAGGCCTTTCTGTTACCAGAAGGGGCACAAGAGGAACGGATGGAGGATGCTGGAAAGCAGGGCTGGAACTCTGCGGCTCAAGGACTAGTTATGCCACATGCCCAAAGCCTGTGATATCAAGCACTGGTATTTTTAGTCCTATTCAGGTGACTTAACCAGAAAATTACCCTCTACTCTCATCAACTCCAGAACTTTCTATGGCCAAAGGACTTGGGCTGTTTTGTGGTAATTCGTAGGAAAAAAAAATACAAGATTATAAATCTTATTTTGCAAGTTTAACAACACTTAGCAAACGGGGCTGTGAACCAGGACTTTTTAAATGCAGCGCCAATAGCTGTGAATTGCTAATAAGTCTCTAAGGAAAACGCATAGATCGAAATTAGCATTTTCTTCCTCTCCAGACTGTTTAGTGTTTGACATTATCCTGTTCGCGGCCAGGAGGGGGCAGGTCTGTCACTCGAGCCATGTCACCAGGTTGCCAGGTAGGCAGTTACCTGCGCTCTGTGCTGAGATGAGGTGCCACCTTCCTGCCCTTACCCTGTGTGTCCCATTCAAGGGCTCTCTGGTGACCTTTGCATTAGGAAGGAGCACTGAACCTTCTGGAATGCCCCTTTCTAGCAGCGGGTTTGAAACGAAGTGAAACCTGGGGTGACGCTGCCCTCCCGTGTTCCTCCCGCCGTGAGCGGAACCAGCCCAGCTCTGCGGGCACTCCTGGAGCTGCATAATCCCCCCGGGGCACCGCTCATAGCCTAGCTCTGCAGCCAGGTTCCTACGGATCCCCTTCGAGAGGGGGAAGAACCAGAGGAGCAGGGAGCCCCCCGGAAGGAGCCAGCCCTTCTCCGTGGGCCTCGTACCTTGTTGCTGTGGGAAGCACCCAGGTTCTGCAGCTCAAACACACTGACTTGTCCTTTGCTGTCTCCCAGGAGAAGGCAGTCCGTGTTCTTCGCAAAAAGCACAGTTGTGAACTTCACTTTTGGGGCGGCGAACCTAATGACCAAGGGATCCAACCTGCAACCGGTGGAGCCACGCATTAATGTCATTAATGACAACACGGAGCTAAAATTGTGTTTGCTGGGAACATACGAAATCCTAGCTGCAGTGCAGTGCTGAGGATTAGTGTAGGTTTTATTTTGTGTTCCAGGCTAGCTAGGAAGTGAGTGTTTTGTTTTCTCTCTAACTAAACAAAAATTCCATCCATTATTAACAAAGATATTTTAGTTACCTAAACTCTATGCTATTGCCTACTATCTGGGAGTCAAAGGGGTGTTAATATAATAGGAATATTTTTTCTACTACAAGAGTCAGTGGGCCTCCTGCTTCACAGCCTTCCTCATGCCAGCGCTGACACTAAGCAGCACAGACTAGCAGTACAAGGCCACAGATTAAATAACTGCACCTAAGACACCAGAAACTTGCACCTCCTTTACAACAGTGACAAAATGTAGGGAGTGCCTAAACTCTAATAATCACTCTCATTTTCTGAGTCCATAATAACTCAGTTCTGTTATTTTTCTTTTTCAACTACAGAAGTGGTAGAATCCATGATTACTGCAGCAGAATCTCTCTTTTACCCCTTATCAATTCTATTAGACATCTTGCTCCTTGTCTTATAATCTCAATACTCCAACAACTACCATCTGATGGTAAAAAAGTGTTTCAAAATGCAAGCCTTCTTTCAAGAGCAAAGCAAGCAGATGACACAGAACTGTGACTGCCTTTCAGCAATGCTTATTAAACAAGAGCATTTAACCTCTGTGCTGTTGTATCTACCAGCTCAAATTCTTCTTCCAGATATTACTTACGTGCTGATGCTAAGATCCCAGATTTCTACTCTGCTTTCGTTCACTGCTACGAATATAAAGACTGACTTTGGAGACCACACAATGTCATGAACAACAGCAGTGGTGGAGCTGAGCGTTAGGATGGGCTTCTGCGACTGCTGGTGCCACAAAATAATGCTCCAGTCTGCAGAGCAGCTTAAAAACATGTCGGTGCTGAACGGATTCCAAGCGATTTTGTACACAGGACCCTTGGCGTTGGGGGAAGCGAGAAAGAACACTGTGTTATTCTAGAGCTACAGCCTCACAGTTCCTTTTTCAATAGTCCTCTATTCCCACAGACTTTTCATGGGAATCCCTGACCATTTCTGACCTTTAGTAGCAAAGCTAGTGTTGTTTTATACACACGCATAGAAAACTAGGATGCAGCAAATGTGATAAGAGATCATAAGAATCAAAACATTGAGCTCGTTCCATTCCTTCCCACGTTGTTAGGAGGAGCTGATACCTATAGGGCAGCCACTTGGATGAAGCAAAGATTTGCAAGAAGGCTCTTTTTTAAAGTTCTGCCATTTCACTATTTAACTACAGCCTCTAGGATAAATACAATTGCTTATAGTTCTCTTTAAATAAGACCAGAACTAAACCTCTAAGTAGACTAAACGGTACTGTACTATACTCTTTAAGCAGAGTGCAGTACAAGCTTCAATAAATTCTTTTAAAACGTTTCTTATAGAAGCAATGCAGAAAGTAATTCTGGAAAGCAATGCCATAGGGTGTAATTCTTTATGTGATGGGAATGCTTTCCTAATGTTAGAGAAGAAGTTTGAGTCTCTTTTGCTGCAGGTGTTTGTTTAGCAAATATAAGCAAAGAAACAATAAACTGGTCAATTTACTTAAGTGCATGTTGCCTTTGCTGTTGCTATTTTTGTAACTATGCATCACTCACCTTATGTCCTCTGTACGTTTCTATAAACTGCTCATTGTAGGAACAAGAACATTTGTGAATAAGGCCCTCTTCTGTTCCAGCGAGATAAAAATTAGTATCCTGAAATAAAGGTAAAAGTAATGTAGATGATTGGATTATCCTACATAACATTTATCCAAAAATCTTTAAAGAACTAGGTGAACTTGGGCTATGACAGTTCTCTGAAGAACCAAGTTGGAGGTGGTGGCACGTTGTGTGTTTGGCTGTCGGCGTGTGTGCTACAAAGATGTCTGTGCAGTGGATCCAGGGGTGCCAAAATGTTCCTGCGTGTTGTTCTCCAGCTGCGCAGAACTGTGGTTTTTGACTCAGAAATCCTTGTACTTTCTGTGAGCTGCTCCATGAACACAGAGCCCAGTGTTAGGGATTTATAGATGCCAGTGATGCCCATGGACAAATGCGTGAATCCTTCAAATGCTCCGTGGACAAAAATTTCATCTGGATAAAGAGGAGAAGCTGAGACATCAGAGCCTTGGAGGCGGGAGATGCTGAGCACAGACTCTCACAGGTTTGACCATTATACCCAGCGTCATAAGCAAATGAGCCCCGAAGCAAATATAACACAGCTGAAATTATGATATAGTTTTACAAATACAGGGGCTATTTGTCTGGCTTGCTATGTTTTTTGTTTGTTTGTTTGTTTTGGTAATGCTGTTACTTCAGTCTTATCAGAAACAGCCTTCATGTCCTGATAGAGACCCCTGAACAAGAGGTGTTGAAACTGTCTTTGTGGAACAAAAAGCTTTTCCTTTGGCAATACTGCTTGTTCTGGCCACAACGTACATAACACACATTATAGATCCACAGGCAGGAATATTATGCTATGGGATAATATATCAGGTGAAAGGTTCCGTTTATTTCTTAGGCAATATAAACCAACCTGCAGTCACAACAGCTGAGCATGCAGGATTGCACCTTCTCCAGACCATGGTGTTTGCCTTCTCACACCCGGCTTCTCCACGGCACGAGGGCTTCCCATGTGTTCTCCCAGTCACAGCAGCTCTTAGTCTAGTTTGTGTCGCCAGAGCCCAGGCAGCATTAAAATATTTTTTCCCCTTTCAACCCTGTTTTTAAGCTTAGCTTTGCTGAAATGGAACTTGGTATCATACTCTGACATTTGCCTCTCAGTATAAACTGTAAACAGATCCTAACTGTACCTGTCAGAGACATCTGGGGTGTCTCTTTAGTTTGTTACTCACTTTATTTTTGCCTGACAGTCTTAACTGATATCTAACATTAATCTAGAAACTATTTGTTTTGGAACTGAAGACAGTTTAAATACCAGTGCTAAATCCCATGCTGATGCATGTTAAAGTAGCTCCCCTAAGGATCTGACAACTACTGCATAGATTTTGGGGGTAAAACTCTAGCCAGGAGGGGCTTTCTGAGCCTACCTTTGGATGGAAGTCAAAGCACATTCCAGGAGCCTGTCGAGATATCAGAGCTTCACTTTTCTTTTCTTTCTCACCTGTTGTTTTTTTCTTCTCACTTACTGTTCGCTTTATTTTCATCAGATCTGTGCAAATTGAAAGAGTTCTTGTCAAGCAGAAATGGCACATGCCAGCAGAGCACAGCTCCATGCTGCTTCAGATTGCTCAGCAGCTCCTAAACGTTTTGCTTAAGATAACCAGTATATAACTGAGTGTCACCTAAAGCAAAATGAGGCAATTGCAATTCCAGGCATTTTCTCTGTGCAGAAAAGCAGCAGGGAAAGTGCTTACCAGAGCAACCCAGTCCTTTCCGTATAAACCACTTGGTTATTCGGCCATCTGCTGAGATAGAGATTAATATCTCTCCTTTATCATCTCCTGTGGTGCCTCTGTCCTGTTCTACCCACTTCAGCTGCCACACGGGACCTATATGTTTATCTAAAGACTCGCTGGGAAAAAAAAAGATGATTGTGATTAAAACATATATTAATGAAGATAAGACAATCTATTTAAATCATGAATAACCTTTTGCTTTGTAATAAAGCTCTATGACAGAAATGTTATTTAGCTTTACTTAAATACAAAATTTTCCGGGAACAAAAAGCCAACATTTGTTCTGTTTGGTTGGTTGGTTATTTGTTGGGTTTTTTTGTTTTTTTGTTTGTTTGTTTTTGGCATAAAACCTATTTGATATTTAATTCCAGGGCTCTGTTTAATAATTGGAAATAAATAAATTTTGGGAATGCTCAGAGATATTACGTAGTGTATCACAAGTGCCAATACTCTCTCACCAAATGACAAATAAAAGATCCACAACAGAGAAATTTATATGTGGTAGAGGGCGATGGGGAATCATGGCCTTACCTGCTGTCTAAAAGAGCAGTGTCGTTCCGGCTCTGTACGTTGTAGATGGCAACGATACCGTTGTACATTCCAACTGCTAAAAGATTAGGACTGACCATAGAAAAATCTAGAGTAGTCACACCATGTTCGCAGTGAAAAACACGCTCTGGCCACTGACCAGAAGGAAAAAAAAGACATTTTAAGTTAGTTTCTTAATTTACCTCAGTCTTCTGAGCACTGATATAGCAAATTGACAGGCTATGATGAAAAATCTGAGTCCTGATGACCACAGTCTTTGCTTCCAGATAGAAATTAAGGACTGTATTCTAACTGATTCAGTTCATTATTGCTTGCTGCAACTATAAAAAAACAGGAATAACAGAGACCAGGAATAACAGAGAAATATGACACCCCATGGACCCCAGGCCCCAAAATTATAAAATCAAGCTCCTCAAGATTCACCTGTGTTAATACAATAGGACTTCTTATTTTAAAAAAATACAACATTTTGGAAGATTTCTCTAATTGATTTTGATCTATTTGCAGGTTTCTATATTTCTCTATAATTTTAGGTAAGTGTCTTTCTAATCACAGAAACTTGGCTGAAGATAAAATGTAATCTAAGCTACCTTGGGTAATCTGTATATCGCTATCCTCAGGAAATTGCTCCCCATAACGAAAGACCTGATTCAGCTCTGTTAGAAGACTGAGCACATAAAAGGTTATTGCACAGAGCTCTTGAAAAGGGAAATGTTGAAGTATTAGTTAAAAAATAGCTGTATTTCAGTGCACATGCCAAGTCTTCTTTCTTAGTGCTAGGCACTGAGGACTGCAGTGACACCATGAAATCACAAGAGTCTCGGCTGGTACTGATGGGACTGAGATGTACAACTTTTGCATGAGAGCATCCACAGGGAGCAATTTGGTGCTGCATTATTTAAGCTAGTCTAATGCACAACTTTATCTGCATGGAATTTGTGAGGTACTGCAGGCAAAATAAATTTTCCAGAAATGTATAGTTGGGTTTAGCAAATTAATAAGCTTGCTGGTTAGGTCTTGCTTTTGAAACAAGAATAGGGAATTAAAAAAGGCAGAAAAAGTACAGCAGAAATATCAACTAGAGAAAGAAAGCAAACTACTTTCTTGCAGCTTCTGTTACCATTGGGTTCTTCAGTGACCAACAGCAAACCAAGCCGTTCTTCTGCTCTTTAAAATCAAACTCTCCATAACCAACAGCCAAAAGATCCTAAAAGCACAGGTTAGCAGGTTAACCTTATGAAATGGTCTTTATTTTTATTTTTATTTTTATTTTTTTGCTTTGGGGCAATCTGACTGGTTTTATATGTCTCATTCTCTGTTGTCTTTACGTTCCTTCCATGCATTATTTTTGTGGTGACCGCAAGAGAGCTCTGTTGAAGAATTGAGGTTTACATTACTCTGAAAGTTGAGATGTCTGAGTCATCTCACCTCCACTAAAAGTGAATTAAGCAAACTTGGGCCAGCAGCTGGGAAAACTGCTCTGCAGCTATTATGCATCCTGTTCTTGGTGAATGCAGTTTGCTTGGAAGATTACTGTTAGAAAGAAAAGGGTGGTATCCAAATGATCTACTCTATCAATCGTAATGAAGTTTAATAGTAGGTGTTTAAATTTCAATTCACAATCCCATAACGAAACAAGTTTATTATCTTAACGCTATTGATCAGGTCACCAGCAATGGTAAGCGGAGATATTCCAGACCAACTAAAACTGCTGTGATAGAGCCATTGCGAATGCAGTTTGCTTGGAAGATTACTGTTAGAAAGAAAAGGGTGGTATCCAAATGATCTACTCTATCAATCGTAATGCAGTTTAATAGTAGGTGTTTAAATTTCAATTCGCAATCCCATAACGAAACAAGTTTATTATCTTAATGCTATTGATCAGGTCACCAGAATGGTAAACGGAGATATTCCAGACCAGCTAAAACTGCTGTGATAGAGCCATTGTATGAAAAGACTAGCACAGTTGCCCAACCTGTAGAATAATGTCGCAATATTATGATATGGAGGTACAAAATACAGATAGTGGGATGCACACACAACCTGCCCGACTATAGGGATGAATGTGTCTCTTGGAGATCCCTCCCACCAAAGGATATCAAAACGAGGACTTTGTTAACACTGACAATTCTTATATCATTTTATAGACAGCTTAGAAGAAGAGATTTGTTAACTCACTGGGTTTAGTTTGTTCCAAGCCATACTGCTCACACTACGGCCATTAGTTAGATCACATGCGTATGACCACAGTAATTCCAAACTGGGAGGTACAAACTCTTCTGGGCCTTTATTCAGGTTTGACAGGACTGAGGGGGCAATGAAGACATCCTTCTGCTCTTCCTCCTCCTGCTCCTCCTGCTCATGTTCTTCCTTTTCTGGGTCAGCTTCTTCCATGGTTGTTGCTCTGTCACCAGTATTTGATGTAGCAACAGGTTCTAAATGCACAAACGTGGCAGAGTGAATAATAACCACTTCACCTATCTGTAACAGTCACTCACAATGGCAGGAAATAGAATGCTCCTTTTCTACTTTGCAGTAAATACAACAGTAAGCTGAAGTGAAGATTCAAGAATTAAGACAGCTTAACTTTCAAATTTATGGTTAAAATGTTGATAGGAACATAGGAGATGACTTGCTAAGGTACAGTGTGTCAGTCCTGCTATGAAATATTTAACAAGTAGACTTAATTACCCAGCAACAGGCCATAATGAATCTGTGTCACCTCCTCAACCCAGGAATGTTTCTTTCTAATCTCTTGTATTTAAAAAAAGACTTAGTTTAAACAGGGATTTTTTCAAGTTTGATGAAAACTTTTAAAGATCCCCACATAGATACCAATGTTGTAAAACCTTTGTTAAGTTACATGATTCTATAACATAAATAGTTCACTATTTAGTAAAATTAATTGTAGAACATATTTTAGACTGTTTACTGTGGGGTTTTTTGTTTTGTTTCCTCACCCCTTTATGAACACTGCTACCAAAATCAGAATGTAAGAACTGCCATACGCCAGCACACAGGTCCATCTAGCCAGTATCACACTCCAGCTGTAGCTAGAGTAGAAGATTGGTAGAATATGACAGACCAATTACCAGCAAAACGGGAACTCTCTGTGCCATGAGAAGGCATGATACAGTCAAGCAGGATAAAATTACTTCTTCACAGGTAGTTTTCATCCCTATATTAACTTGGAACTCCTATAAAAAGCTTAGCCCTTCAGTAGTATGTTCTATCTTCTGCAGTTAAGGTTCTTTCTGTTAAACACGGCTTATCTCTCAGGCTAAAACTTCTGTTTACCATCAGATAGTCTCATCTTAAAAGCTCTGTGCTCCAATGCAAAGGAGAAAAAAAAAGATTGGAGAGATAGCAGAAATTATCTGTATCTTAACTGTCAGGGAACAGGTCTGATTATCATTTTGAATAAGCCTCATTTTGCAATGAAAAGGAGAAATGAGCCAGCTAAGACATCATTTATTCAGTTCTCCCACCAAGCTCTGTAGGGATCTCACTTTAAGCGAGTATAAAACTGCAGAGTTTGTGTTGACATCTGGAAATTCTCCTTTCCTTTGTCTGGTTCTTAAAAGACTTGTTGTCTGTAAAGACATTCAGTGAAGGACGTATCTACATGATTTCCACTAGCACACAAAACCTTGTGCCAAAAATGCCAATGTGGCTAAGGAGAAACCAACCTGTAAGGACAGGAAGTTGTCGATAAACTGCAAGTTTGGGCTGAAAAACATTCTCCATTAGAATCCTCTCCATGAAAAATAAGTCCTGATGAAATTTTTCTGATTTCAATATAGCTTCTGAATGGTCTTCCTTCTCTTCATGGATCTTGGCAAGAAGAGCACTTTCCACTACAGAAGAACTTGTGCTATCTGACAACAGAAGATATCAGGAAAAAAAGCAGTTTTAATAGGGTAATACTTTGTATGCAGAAGTCAAGGGAGAAACAAAACAACCTTCTCTCTCTGCAAAAAGCATAGGAGAACTTCCTATCATCAGCATATCAGCAGTACTAAACTTCTTGCCTTAATTTTGTTTTATTTTATTGCTCACAATTATGATTAAAGTCTTCTAGAATTTTTTGCAACTGTTTTTTCTTCTCCTGTCCTAAGTAATTGAGCATGACAAACTTTGTCATGACTATGCACCCCTTTTAAGCTCATTTACAAAGGCATTGTATATAAAGGTCTCGGCACAGATCCGTCCAAGATTTTTTAGCAAACTGCCTCTTTCAAGTGACAGATAAGTGGACAAAACATTTTATTCATGCAGGGCTTTTTCCATACAAAATAGTGATATGCGTGGTTTAGAAGGATGGAGACACTACAGAAACATAAACCTAGAAAAATGTTACCTCTGTCACAAACTGAAGATGCAGACTGATCATGCTGTCCACTTATAAGAGAGATGTTGCTGCTCACAATTGTGACTCTTCTACCTTCTGCTTTTGATGTAGGTTCTACTTCCAACTCGTTAAAGGAATCATACAAGTCCCAGGAAGTCACCATGATCCCTAGAAATGAATTACACCAGTTGTCTTTTATTTCTATACATTATTACAAAAAAAAAATACAGGTGAACAAAGACTTGGGTTTTGTACACTAAATAGATTAGCAGAAGGGCTTAGAAATTAACTGAGGGTTGGACAAGGTGGTAGCACCAGCTGATGATGACGCCGGGTGGCATCGCGGTGCCCGGGGCGTGTGGCCTCCCCTCGGTGTGGCCTTGTCCCTGCAGAAGGGCCAGCCCCCAGCGTGCTCAACTCTTCAAGCATGGACTGGACCGAGCGCTGCTGGAGACTGAGGCACACAAAAAGGGGCAGGTCTGCTCTGAAATCACATTGTTATCTACAGCAGTTATCTATGAACACTCTTTTGACCTTTACTCTTTTTTGATATACCTTTGTTTTTACCTTCATTTTACATATGCCAAAGAAAAATGAGGAAATAACGTCGGGAACAGCATTCCCCATAGCCTTTCTTTCGGTCACATACGCAAAAAAACTATGTGTGGAGTAATGCAGAGCTCTGAACACGCTTCCAAAACCTGCATATTCCCCTATATTTTTTTTAGGGCATTGATGCTGAACATTTTATAAAGCTGCATTGTCTCGGGAGACTACTGAGATTTCTTATTTTGCTAAGACTTCCAATGTCATAACAGAGCTTCCTTTCCTTGCACCTCAGCAAACAGAAATCAAAACCAGTGTCACTGAAAATGCTGAGGGAGGGAAGGGAATAGTGTTCTTACTTATTTCAGGAACAAAGCTGATTACTGGTGATGTTCTGCCTCCCAAGGAGCTCTCCTTGTCAGGCAAGCAGGCCACAGCAGAGGACAACCCCCAGCCAGGGCCATGACTCTTTCATTGCAATGGCTACAGCAATTGTCAAGTATGAGGAGAGGCAGAAAAGGCCATCACAAATCACACCAGCCTGCTGTAATTTGAAGTTCTAGAAAATGAAAGCAGAAGCTGAGGAAATACCTTCTTCTGCTTAGATATGCAAGAAAAGATTTCCTTAGTCTTCTGAGGTCTCACAATCTAGCTGTATTTTAGCCCGTTCCCAAATCAATATTTAATAAGCAAATGAAAGGTAATAATAAACCTAGCTACCACAGGTACACTGCAAGGGAACTATGTAACAAATGAGAGCCTGTTCTTACTAAATATCCCTCTCTGTGTAGCACTTGGAGAGTTTACCTTTATCTTCTGTGACGATTTTGTCACACTGCACTTCCTTGCTCTTTGGGGCTCCATTAAGGGTTTGCATCATCCTTTCCACAAAGCGCTCGTTACCAACTCTATTTTTACAAACGTCAACATAAATCTTATTCCGCTCCCTTGAGAAAAAAGAATGTGCATGTTGGCTTTCTGAAAAGCAGCTGCTTTCAACTTCTCAGTGCATTCAATCACAATTTGAACAGAAGAGGGTACTCTCTATCATCAGTTTACTGCTCTGTTTTAGTATGTGCTTGTTGCCAGGCTCTGTTTTAATCTATGTATCATCTTTGAGCAGCTACTTCTGACCTTGTAAGGCTGTAGAGATGGACCTCAGCAAAATCCTTAATTCAGCCACCCTTGAGTGTTGCTAGAATTAAATGAGTTCAGAATTAAGTCACTCTTGTCACTCAGGAATGATGTAGTGCGTACAAGGGACAAAAATGAAACCAGTACATTTAGTCCAGTCCTCAAATAAGTAGAAATGGTCAGTAGGAATTGCAAAACTTTTCCCACAGTTTTGGTTTCACTATTCTAACAGGAGGCTGGGTTATACCCAGCCTTAACTGAGGAGCAGGTTGCTGACCTCAGAAGGGGCCGCTGTCCCTCCCTATGCAGTTTGCAACACGGGCTGGGTACGCCAGTGAAGTGTGATTCATAGGATGCTCTTCCTCTTCCTTTTCCCCAAAATGACACCACAGTGTGACTCACAGGCGGGGGGCTGGAGTCCAAACACAAACTTTGCACGTACACCAAAAGGAAAAGCTCTTTTATCCACGTTGTTTAACTACCCAAACGCTGTGCCCTGGCTCCAGGCTCTGGGGCTTACATGGACACAAGGGATCAGTCTGGAGGGACCTTTCGTGCCCTCTGTCCCAGTCGGGTCCTGGGAGAAGGCCCGAAAAGCCACGTGTTCTAGGTTACCTCCCTGCCAAAGCTCCTGGCAGCCCAGGGAGGCGGCTCTAAAGCGGGAACAAACCAGATGCAGCTAAGGTGAGGCTGGACATTTTAAAAGCAGGGTCACCTGTGGTGCCGTGAGGCTTCCTCCAGCTAGAAGGACAGAGGAGAGCTTCAGGGGAAGCCAAGCCTAGTTCTGTTATATCTTTGTTTGAAATCATTGGCTATGAAACCACATCGGAGAATTAACATGGGGCTTTGCAATTACTGTTTTCATTAAAATTAAATCATATTAAATAATTTATGTATACCATACTTCTTTGTCTTTTCTTTTGCCCACTCTCTGGTTGTTCTCTTGTCACTGTCCCTCACTTCTGCTGCCTTAATCTACCAGTCAAAAATGGCAAGATGAACTTCTAAGGAAATCAGCTTGTCTACCAAAAAATAGAATTGAGCCTAACATGGCTTTAAATGAAGGTGAAATGGCAAACTGTGGCAGTCAGACCTGAACCTGTGTGTGATCAGCCTTTTCAGGATTTTGTGATCAACAGAAACCAGCTGTGCTGAGCATATTGCATGCCTGGACACAGCTGTATGAATATACATACAGAACTTTTCCTGCATCTTCAGCCTCTGTAGACATCACAACAGATGGCATATCGAATATCCAAATAGTTTCCGTTTCCGTAAGGTAAATATCCACTCTCCTATCCAACTCTTCATTTGTCAGTTGCTCTTTCACCTCCTCTCGCCTCACCTGGACATCTGACAAATTACAAGAGGTTAACAAGTGAGAACTTTTCTGTTGTAACTTTAAAAGAAGAAAAATCAATTCTGCAAGTATTGCAATGATCGGGAGCCAAAATTGGTGAGGCACTGAGTTTGTTTGAAATGCTGAGCATCTCACATGCACTGACTCAGTGTCTCACAACTCACAGTGCTCCCAAGAACGGTTTAAATCTGTAATCACACAAGGTATGTTCTTTACCAGTTATGTCAGCACTTGTGTCTCGCCGAGGGCTGGGCTCTGCTATGTCATCTGCTAGGGAGTCAGTTGACGCATATGATTTAGAAATACTGCTGCTTCCATACGACCTTCAATAACAAAGAAACAAGCAGGAATCAGCCGTGAGAGTCCAGATGTCACTTAGCAAAGCACTACAGAATCAGCAGTGTTGTTATTGGGATAAACCCCATAGTACTTTGCAGTAGCACATGCAGCTATGCTTATGTTGTAGAAGTCATAGAAAGCTTGGAAATAAAACAATAAAATGGTTGGAAGGAGATTTAAAAAGCAAGATTTCCTCTGACAGCATATCCTATGGCATTAAATAGCAGATAGTAAAGAAACTGCTGAGCTCTTAAGATTCATTCAACGTGGGGTGTTGACCTGTGATAACATACACCCTCACCAGAATTAAGATCCTAGGGTGTTTTGCATGTGCTGGGATGTCTTTGAAATGTACAGGAAACTCATTTGAAGGGGGTAGCTTGCTTAAGTATGTTCATGGAAGGAAGAATTGTGATAATTAAAACGCACAAGGTAGCTTGCTTAAGTATGTTCATGGAAGAGCTGTGATAATTAAAACGCACAAATTATATACAGTTAGGTTCTTTTAGCAGGTTTTGCGTTCCTCAAAAATGAAGTGAGATTGAGTATAAATATAGGAGAGGCATTTTTAAAAGATTTTTATTAAAAAAACTAAAGTAAAATCTCTTCATTCTATATATGAAGCAAAGAGCCCTAAACTTCCAAGATTATGCGTTTATTTTTCAGGAGCTACCTTCTATCTTTTAAGTAGTTATTTGTGTATATCTGCTCTGGTTTAGTATCCCTACCTCTAAAATAAACCCTCAGGACAGTAAGCGTAACAAAAAAAATTGCTCTCAAAGAACAACTTCCTTTCTTCAGAAATTACAATTACATTAACTTGGCCAAAGAAAACAGTAAATAATGCTTTTCTTTATATAACCCTCTTCCCCCAGTGCTGATTTTACTAGTCCTTAGTCTCTTTGGCTAAATAAATAGCACATTCTCCCTGAATGTAATCTGAATGTGTACGTACCATCTGATAAAGTGATGTGGTTCATTACATTTTAAACACAAATAGTTATTTACCTTCTTCTGTGCAGCTTAATTGAATTCGTCAGGCAGAAGATGAAACGTCTCAGGTCTAATGACTCTGTTTATTCCCTGTGTACTGAAGGTTTGGGGATGGTAAGCAGTACACTTGTAATTTAGCAGGTTTAATTCAAAATTTTTATATGCTCATTTTTCAGGCATGCAGATGCACACACATAGAGGTAGCTGGTACAAATCAGTTTAAAAGGAAGAACTGTCACTATATTAACAATATTTGCTATATGAATAAAAACAGTCAAGTTTTTAAAAAGGGCTGCCTATACTTAGTAAATATAACTAAAATATTCAAATAGTTTAAAAATAAATTTGTAACAGTGAAAACAGACCTTTTGTCTTCACAGCATTTTTACACTGCCTATGTATATAAGCAGATATTACCATACGCCAATTTTTGAAAAAAGACATGCTTGGGAGAAGCAGAAAATGTCCAAGGTGGCTAGGAGTCTATTAAAGAGCTGCAGTTGCCTCTCCTCCCTCTCTTTAACACAGCATTTTCTCATATATGTGTTCACAGGTCTTTATCATGACTCTGCATGCAGGCTTAACCACTGCAAAACCTGCACTCTGGATGTCCATATTTCTGAATCGTGTTGTACTCATTATTGCCTCTAAACATGGCCCATTCTGGCACACTGTATAGAAACATTCTAGGAAGGAGGATCTGAGTAAAATTGGAAATGTCAGAGCAGCATGTGCAGCAGTCTGCTTTCACTTGTCCATACTGGAATCGCAGCAAGTAGCTCTGACAAAGAATCAGTCTTAGTCTCAAGCACTGACAAAATCCATTTATTCTATTTGTTACCATTCCTCAAATTTTTATTGACAGTTATAGCCTAATAAGTTTCTGTATTCTGGCATAGCAGCATGGTTTAATTATTAGCTCTGCACAGTGAGTCCGGTTCCCAAGCCCTCTGAGGAGCAGAGGTGCAGCCTTTCCAGGTTAGGGACCCTGGGAGGCAGGATTTAGGAGGCAGAGCACATCAGCTTACCTTGAGAACGGACCTGCTAAACTACTATTCACCCCTGATGTCTGTTGCATGGAAATAGAAGACAGAAAACCAGATCCTGTGACTGCCGAGTAATCGCTTGCTGCTAAGA